GGAGGCAGTGGGGGAGCCTGGGTGTGGGCTACTGGGGGGTCAGCTGGCAGGAGTCTTCAGTGGCCACCAGCAGCTCAGGGGGAGGCAAAGCAGGAGTCCACTCACCTTCCTGCTACAGGCACAGGTCCCTGTTTGAGGTTGGGGGGAGCCCCAAACTCCCCTGGGAACAGGCAGCAGCTCCCTGTGTTACCAGGAGTGGGGGCCTGGGGCTGAGTCCCCACCAGTGTGGTTGGAGCCCAGAGGGGGACCAGACTCCAGTGGAAGCTTTTAGATTGTTTTTATTTTCATATAAACAAGACAGAACCCAAAGCAGCATTAAGTTAAAAAATAAAAAAGAGCCAGAAGAAGAGAGGGGGGCAGCAGGGGGGGCTCCCACCCACCCAGGCCATGCGTGGGCCCCCCCCTTAGTGTCAGTCCCCCCGGGCCGTGCTCCTGCGGTGCGATGGGTGAGATGTGAGCAAAGATGAACCCGTTTGGCACGGCGCGCGTGGGCGCCTGGGGGGGTGACAGTGCCTTGTCAGCGTGGCCCCCCCAGCCCCACACCCAAACACCCCCCTCTCTCCTTAACCTTCCTGTCCAAAGTCTTCCGTGAATTTCTTCACCTTCAGCAGATCCTCAGCATTGACTGTGGGGCGGGTGGTGGACAGAGAGCGCTCCATGTCCGACTGCAACATGGGAAGGGGGAGCTGCTGGGGGGGCCCAGCCCTGGGGGCTAAGCACCCCGTGGGGGCGTGGCACTCACCATGCAGACGATGGGCTCCATCAGCTTGTCACTAGGCACCTCCATCCAGGTCATCTCGATGGCCTCGGGGTCTCCGGGTGAGCACGGCGTCAGGAGATCATCCACCAGGGCACCAGGGGTGGTGCGGGAGAGGCCACGGACCTGCGGCAGAGCAGGCGGAATGGAGACCATGGCATCAGGACCCTCCACAGCCTGGGGAGGGCCCCCCCACCTGGAGCAGCCCCCCTACTCACCTTCTTGAAGTGAGTGGCCGACTGGACCTTGCGGACAGGCTGCATCAGGGCATCCCGCACGATGATGCTGATGTCGGCTCCGGAGTAGCCATCAGTTTTCCGGGCCAGCTCACGGATGTTGGCCTCTGTCAGGGAGTGTGGGGTGTTCCCCAGGTGCAGCTTGAACATCTGGGCCCGTGCTGCCTCCTCAGGCAGGGGGATGTAGATCCGCTTCTCGAACCTGTGGGCAGGAGGGGGGTGATCCCAGACCCTGCCAGACCCCACTGGGACACGGCACCGGGAGCAAGGGCCATCGTGTCCCACTCACCTCCTCCTGATGGCCGAGTCCAGCACCCAGGGGATGTTGGTGGCTCCCAGCACTAGAATCCCATCACTGCTGTTCCCCACACCTGCACACAGTGAGCAGACAAGTCAGGGCAGTCCGTGGGAGCAAGGGCAGTGTCTCCCCCAGCCCACCCTGCGCCGGCACGTCCCGCACCCTGCATCTGCACCAGGAATTCCGTCTTGATGCGCCGCGCCGCCTCGCTCTCGTTCTCATTGCGGGAGCCACACAGCGAGTCCACCTCGTCGATGAAGATGATGGAGGGTTTGTGCTGCCGTGCCAGCTCAAAGAGGTTCTTCACCAGCCTGGGGATGAAGGCTGGGGATGGGGTCCTGGTCCAGGGACCTCCACACACCTCCCAGGACCCCTGCCCACCCCTCCTGCCCCTGTGCACCCCAACAACCCTGCAAGGGGTACGTGCCATGCCAGGAGACAGGCTGTCCCGGGGCTGTGGAAGCTCGGGATTGCCCACGCTCTCCCCAGGGACCCATTAACAGGATCACTGATGCTGATGGCTCCTCAGCCCCGGCCAGAGCTCTGGCACTACCAGCCCAGCTGGCAGGAAGGCCAGGAGCCATCCCGTGTATCCCCACTGCCAGCTTACTTCTCACTCTCTCCTAGCCACTTGGACATCAGGTCGGAGGAGGAAACAGAGAAGAAGGTGGAGTTGTTGGCCTCAGTGGCCACAGCCTTGGCCAGGTAGGACTTGCCAGTGCCGGGGGGCCCAAAGAGCAGGATCCCTCGCCAAGGTGTGCGCTTCCCTGTGGAGAAGGTTGGTGTCACAGCAACCTGTCCCCATACAGGCCGGGTCACACGTCCCCCCTGCTCGGGGTCACCACCCCAGCTGCCACCATCCTCACCAGTAAACAAGTGGGGGAACTTGATGGGCAGAATCACAGCTTCCTTCAGAGCTTCCTTGGCTCCCTCCAGGCCGGCCACGTCACTCCACCGCACGTTGGGCTTCTCCATCATGATGGCACCTGTGAGGGGGCAGCTCTGGCTCACACGGCACCGCTGAGATGGGCAAAACACTGCCAGTGTCTGCCAAGAGCCAGGGGAGCCAGGGCCCCTGTTCCCCTGCAAACCTTTGCCCCACCAAACCCCCCCACCCACCCACCCGAATCCCTGCCCCTTAGCACAGAACACGGGCTGGGGGCTTCCCTGTCCCCCTCTCCGTAGCTGCCCTTCATGGTGGCCCCCCGCCACAGCCCCTCACCCATCAGCTGCTCCTGCAGCTTCTTCTTCTCGGGGTTCTCCCCTTCGCTGTCACTGTCGCTCCTGGGGAGAGGGGACACAGGTCAGGAGAGGGACCAGCCCCCCCCAGGGCAGGGGGTCCCCGCTCCCCCCACTCACCCCTTGTCATTCTGCGACTCTTTGACCGGCTTCTTGCCCTGCTTGTCCTTGCTGCGCAGATACTCCTTCAGCTTCTCTGCCCGGTCCAGGTACTGCACGCACTTGGCTCGGATGCTCTCCTTGGCCTTGTCGCTGTGAGCCTCATCTGCGGAGACCCCCCCGCGTCACGGCGGCCCCGCGTGGCGGCGGCCCCG